CCAGCTACTTGGGAGGCTGAGGCAGGAGAATCGCCTAAGCCCAGGAGTTGGAGGTTGCTGTGAGCTGTGATGCCATGGCACTCTATTGAGGGCGATGAAATGAGACTCTGTCTCTAAAAAAAAAAGAAAGAAAAAAATGAATGAAGCATAGCAGTGAGCAGCTCAGAAAGAACTCAAGTGGGGTCCACTGTAGTCTCGTCACTCTGCCATCCTCGCTCATGGATTTTATGTCACAGCCTTAAGGTGACTGCCCCAGTTTCACTCATTACCCCTGTATCAGAGAGGAGGAGGCAGGAAAGGCTGAAGAAGGTCATCCCAGACTTTAAGACTACTTCCCAGAACTCTCATGGGATCTTTCTTTTCATATTCTTTTGGTCAGAACACAGTCACATTACCATATCTAGCTACAGGGGAGGTTGGGAAATCCTGTGAGAAACCAAACACCTAGGGCTTCCCCCTGAGGAAGGAGCGAGTGAGTGTTGGAGTAGCCTGATCTTGCCTGCAGTCTGGGTGTTCCCTAGGACACTCTGAAGAGGCGTTGAGCATCAGGTGGCTGCCTCTGACTCTGCCACCCTGTGTGACTTTCCCAGAGTCATCAGGTAGCAAGTTAAACAGGCTAGACTAGCCCGGCACCTGTACTCTCCCCATGTCTCCTTATCATTGGGTACTGTGTCCTGCCAGGCATGAACTCTAGTTGCCCAACCCACACCCTTCACCACAAAGGCAGAACAGGTAGGACAGGTCCCACAGGTGGTGTGGAGCTCCTGACCCAGGAGCAGGTGGCCAGCAAGGAGTGGGGTGAGTGTCCTTATTCAGCTGCCAGGGAGAGTTCAGGTTCCAGCCCTATGACTGTACTGTGTGACCCTGTGCAAGGGCTGCCCACTGTGGGCTCAGTTCTCTTTCTTTTAGGGGATTGCCTTTTATGATTACAAATTATTTCAGACTGTAGCAGGTCTGAAAGCATATTCAACATCCATGCACTGTGACACAGTTTTTTTTTTTTTTCAGATTAATGTAAGGGTACAAACGATGAGGTTACGATGTTTATTAGGTGAGGTCCCTGTTGCAGTTTTGCCTCTCACCCCAGAGGTGTGCCATATGCCCTTGCATTGTGCCCATTAGGTAGGAGCACAACAGACACAGCTTAAAAAAAACATCTCTCTCTCTCGGCTCGGCGCCTATAGCTCAACC